AAAAAAAAAAAGTTTGACAGCCAATAGTGTAATATTAATAGCTTAAAAAAACCTAGTCTTTAGTTGCAACAATATAAGTGTTGCATGTTCACTAAATGATGTTTTCAGGAGCTGAGACCTGAAGGGTTAACATTTTTTTTTATTTTGGGTGTTATATTTTAAGAAGGATGTTGGCACCTCCAAAAGAGGCTGGCCAATATAGAAGTCTTGAAATTCACATATGAGGAATACTTGTCAAAACTGGTTAGGTTTAGGGCAGACATGGTGGCTCACACCGGTAATCCCAATGCTCTGGAGGCCGAGGTGAGTGGATTGTTTGAGGTCAGGAGTTCAAGACCAGTCTAAGTAAGAGTAGGACCCCCATCTCTACTAAAAACAGAAAAATTAGCCAGCTGTTGTGGCAGGTGCCTGTAGTCCCAGTTACTCAAGAGGCTGAGGCAAGAGGATCACTTGAACCCAGAGTTTGAGGTTGCCATGAGCTAGGCTAATGCCATGGCACTCTAGCGAGGCTGTGTCTCAAAAAAAGAAAGAAATAAGAATCCACAAGTCTATATTAATAATAAATAGATAGGTGAGTGAGTGAATCAATGAATAAATAAATGGGGGAGAGGGAAGGCTTTTGCTGATAGTAGACTGCCAGTTTGAGTGGTAAATATAAAAGGGAGTGATAGAGTTGGAAAATCATCATTCCGTATATTTAAAAATTCCCATTAAAAAGAATTTTTCAAATTAGAAAATGGTACATTTTATGGCTCTTGATTAATAATGCTGTGTAGTAGTCATCTAGTTGATGTTTCTGACTACAATTTCTCTTCATTCTAATACATTCTAGTAAAGTTTTCAAAGATACAACTTTGACTATCCCCAGCCCCATTCCAAAGTTTCTGTTTTTTTCTTTTGTATATAGCTGTGCTCCTCTAATATTCTACAAAGAAGAGTGATCTTTTTGATTTCTTAGTTTGGAGATTAGTGGGATTAAGGGGTGGTAGAGTATTGGCAGACATTCCTGTGTTGGAAGGTAAGGGAGGCAGTGACAGGAATGTGCTGAACTGTGAGTAAATGACAACACTTTCTTACCGCACATTGTGGCATTTCTCAGAGTTAGGGCAGTGACAATTCAAGCTACAGACTTCATAATAAAACTTAAAGACTTGCTGGGAGAACCAGTTTTTATGGAATTAACTTCCTTAGCTAGGCATTTGAAGTTCTTAAAAACTTTAAGTGGTTTCTGTGCTGAGTATTGAGGATGCATGGTTAAATACAGTCTCTCCCTTCAAGGAGTTTATAATCCATTAATTGAGACGGATAAAGAAGAAGCTGCTTGGCTTTGTTGGTAGGATATAGACTGGAGGAAGAAAAGATTTTCCCGTTTGGAAGTGACTTTCGTATTGTCTCCCTTCTACTGCTGCCTTGCTCTTATTGCTGTTTGCCACGTTCTGTGCTGGTGCTTTGCTTCCCTGTCTGTACACAGATCACTCCTCTCCCTCCCTCCAGGGCTAATCTCTTTTGTACTTTCCTGAGAATTGTGGTAGGCAGAACAATGGTCCCCAAAGATGTCCAAGTCCTAATTGCCCTGGAACTTGTGAATATATTACCTTACCATAGCTAAAGGGACTTTGCAGATGTGATTAAGGTTAAAGACCTCGAGATGGGGAGATTAAGCTTGTGGGACCAGTGTAATCAAGGAGATTCCTTA